TAAAATATTCTTTACCATCATTAGCAATAAAGTAAATACGTACAAAAGAATTAAACAAAGGGTGACTGATGAAGTGCGTAAAAAGGGCACAGAAAATATGCTCTGTTTCCCCCGACACACAAAAAAGAAAAACAGGTGGGACGGCATATTATCACCGGTATAAATCAAAACATTAAGTGAACTAGAAACAAAAACCACATGTACACAAACCAGTCCTTGCATCGCCTAAACACCGGATGAGTTTTTTTGAAACTCCCGCTCTCCGGTTATCACCAATCTAATGGGCCCGCTGGCAAGGTATGTGTTGACAAGCTATAACCCACCCATCACGGCAACCCAGCAGTGGAACTGATTTTACTCCCTATATGCGTATTGAATTTCCAAAAAAGGAAAAAAAACCTTAACAAATACGCTCTAGGCAGTTTAGTCATATAACTACACAGGTATCCATACCAGTGCTTGTAAGTCTTAAATAAACGAAAATCTTCCCTAGCTGGTTGCAAACACAATGTTTTTCAAAAAAAAGATTCATCAGCTCGCAGAGCCCCTCGTACTCCAATGTTCTCATACATCCCATAAAAAGAAAAGAATGAGGAACGGCCCTGCTGATGCTGATAGCAAATCCCATCCCCCTCCCATGTTTTAAACCCTAATTCACGGCGGCAACTTTCTTGGAATGACCTTGGAACTTTCCAACAAGTTATTAATATCAACAGATTATTCCCTGAATTTTGCTTGCACAAAACCGGTTCTTCCTTGCTATTTTCCTAGCCAGAAAACCACTTCTTTTTAAGAAAACACAAGTCAGATAAAAACTTAACTATTAAACACATTGATATCCCCTCCCCCGACCACCCGGTCGGCGGTCGAAGAGGCGTGCATTTGTATCTTTGGAATCGAACCTAGACTCCAAATGATCCATGTCAGCGGACAAAAACACTACGTTATTAAGTCACATGTGGAGTAGGAGACCAATCAAATTACCATACGGCTGCGCATCCAATGCATGACTATTAACAAATCTCCTGCCTATCGCACTCTGTATACGAAACCTCAGATTAAGTCAGGGTTTGAGACATACAACAAGAATGGTATAAAAGCGATAGTTTGAGACTTACAGCCTCATATCTCCAGACAAGCTCCAAACATAAGATGGACAATCTATTAGATCTCGTCTGCCTTCCCACCCCCGGCTCAAGAAACGATGAGAAAACACAAGTCTGATAAAAACTTAAATGCATGGTGGCGGCCAAACTCCATTCCATATAACTTAAAATGTAGTGGCGACATGTATGATTACGCCTCTTCCTATTAAACACAAAACTTAACTCGAAATTTGAAAAGTCAACTCGAAACTCGAAAGGCAACTCAAAACTCGAAAAGTCAACTCGAAACTCGAAAACTTAACTCGAAACTCGAAAAGTCAACTCGAAGCTGGAAAACTCAACTCGAAACTCGAAAAGTTCACTCGAAACTCGAAAAGTCAACTCGAAACTCGAAAAGTCAACTCGAAACTCGAAAAGTTAACTCGAAACTCGAAAAGTCAACTCGAAACTCGAAAAGTCAACTCGAAACTCGAAAAGTCAACTCGAAACTCGAAAAGTCAACTCGAAACTCGAAAACTTAACTCGAAACTCGAAAAACAAACTTGAAACTCGCAAACTTAACTCGAAACTCGAAAAGTCAACTCGAAACTCGAAAAGTCAACTCGAAACTCGAAAAAGTCAACTCGAAACTCGAAAACTTAACTCGAAACTCGAAAACTTAACTCGAAACTCAAAAAACAAACTTGAAACTCGCAAACTTAACTCGAAACTCGAAAAGTCAACTCGAAACTCGAAAAGTCAACTCGAAACTCGAAAAAGTCAACTCGAAACTCGAAAACTTAACTCGAAACTCGAAAAACCAACTTGAAACTGGAAAAGTCAACTCGAAACTGGAAAAGTCCACTCGAAACTTGAAATGTCAACTCGAAACCCGAAACTCAAAAATTCGACTCGAAACTCGAAAACTTAACTCGAAACTCGAAAAGTCAACTCGAAACTCGAAAACTTAACTCGAAACTCGAAAACTTAACTCGAAACTCGAAACTCGAAGAAAAGAAACCCTCTATTTTCTTCTGGTTCATGAGGAGTTTAATGTAATAAAATATTGGTAATATGGATTGTTCAGTACCCCCAAACAGTCATAACCTCAGAATGTGACTGATATATCCATAAATGCCTTGAGGCTTGACCAATGGGTGCCTTTTCAGCTATTTATTTTATGATGATTGCTGCATAAACCCCAAAGAATTGTTTTAACTCGTTAAATTAAATTGTATCTTTTGTGACAGCTCAAGTTACACAATAACTTCAGGTGGCAGTTTCACTATATAATGCACATATGCCTCACCACTCGATACATGTATGTGGTATTAGACCCTCAGGTACAAATAAAAATGGCAGCATCAAGCATATGTTTCCAAGGTGTCGTGTTCACCAATTTGTTATCTTTTCCCCAATGAGCTGCGATGGAAATGACCCCTCTCCGATGTACAGTAAACAACCATCAAACGCTGGTCAAAGGGAACTATATGAAGTACCCATCAGTATTGGAACGCTGGTGGAGAAAGCAGGGATTGTGAAGTTCTACCGAGGTGCATATTATACAGGCCTATTTCTTCAACTTATTTAAACAGTCCTGAATCTTTCAATGTCAATATAATTTTACAAACACCCCTTGAAACACACTGCATGAAGTTTATAGTCTTAAGCACAAATTTACTGTTTGAATCGTTACTGTTTAAACAGTCTGATTTTATGTCTGGATATGCTATGATTATATCTGTTATGTTTACAGTTATCATCACCAGTCATTTATTTTGTGCTTTTCCATTCAGATAAAAAGTCTTGTGTGGAAAGTACAGTGAAAAAGGTATAGCCTCACCAAAACAATTGGGTATTAGCCCTACACTTGCTCTTACCGTAGACGCAATGGATGGTCCAATAATAATTGCAACTTTCTATTAAAGGCATTACTGTCAGAAAAGGCATTACTGCAGACCAAAGGCTATAATAGTCAGAAATTGTATCATCTTCTGAAGGGTGATTATGTTGCACTTAGCGAGAACAGAATTCGACTCATTATCATGAGTTAGAAAAGACTGAAATTTACCAACAATCACACAACTCGATTCACCAACAATGTTGATTTGTGTTAGGCCTATACCAGCTTTATTTTGAAGACGTTGAGCTATAATTTACATTTGTGCTTATTATTATTAGTTTTATATGCAAATTTAGGAACCATGGGTTGTAATATAGCATAAAATTGTTCGGTTTTCGGCAAAGTTGTACACAAAATCTCCTTACCCATTTAAGGTTAATAACAATTTTGCTTGGTTGTCCAAAAAGTTTACATTGTTTTTTTTTTAGTTAGCAAATTTAGCCAGTAGAAAGAATGTTGTTTTTAAACGTGCATTTTAAATATGTGCATTTCAAATTTTGCTCAATTTGCTAAAATTGCCATGACGTGTTTGTATTTCTTGAGACTGGTATACATTGTGTTAAGTTGATCTGCTCTGCAAGACTGGGCATTACATCTAATATGCAAAATTTTAAAAGTTAGTCATAAAAAAATGTTGGATTGTTCTCATCACAAGCTTCATTTGGATGTGCACCCTGTAAAATTTAGCATCAAATCATTGTTTTGGGTGGGGTTTTTTTAGAGACAACCAATTAATTACAGCAATAAAACACTGAAATTGTTCGTCAGTTGAAAAAATTAAAGTAATTTCTTGAATTACACAGGGAGAGCAACTTCTGTAATAATATAGGTTTTCCCAGCCAATTTCTGCAAAAACACATTCATTTTCAATAGAGAGACATTCAGATTGGAGCAGATTTTTCAGTTTTCGTTCATACTGGGGTTTCTTCTTCTCTGTTGCATTCAATGTTGTTTTCATGCACACCATGATTTTCGTTTTGCCATTCAGGTTCGTTTCATTTATAGGCATTCAAGACTACATTTTCACCACTGCTATTCAAGTGTAATTTCTAATGTCACTTTCCAATTGATGCAATCAGAGTAAAAGTCTTTGAAGAGTACAGGATCTTATATTGGCATGAGGTATTCTGTTGCGTTTAGAGTCAATCTGAGTGTTCAATATGGATTATTCGAGTAGGGATTTCTATCTTTCTTTCACTGAATGATATTCTTGTTCCATAATCATAGTCTTGATTTGAATAATTCCTCTGTATCATTATTCTGTTATTTGTGTTTATGCCTGTCTCTCTGAGACATATGAAACCAAGGCAGGATTTTTGTTCTGGCTTTTTTGGATTTTTGTTCTGGCTTTTTTTTTATTGTGATTGTGTGTACACTGTACAGGTACTGTTAATTATTTCAGTGTGTAATAATATGGACAACTTCAAGTTAAAAGTTGACGAAGATTTGAAGAAACAAATGTAGGGTCAATGTTATAGCATTATACATGAATAACTAAATACAAATCAAGTAACACATACCACAGAAACAGATTTAAATGCGACATGTGAAAATGTTTGCCAAAATGTCTGCTTACATTGAATTCTTGATCAATTTCTTTCTAGGCCCTTTGACAAATTTGAATGAACGGAACATGTATCGAAAGACTGTTCAAATAATGAAACTGAATGACTCCTTTTGATGTTTAAAAGCTCAAGGCAGCATTCGATTTAAAAGCAAATTTGAAATGGCTTTCGTGTTAATAATCTGAATGATTTCTTTTTAAGAAAATTGGGAAAACCTATACGTGCACATGTTTGTTTACAATGTATGCATAGGTTTGTCTATGGTGTAAATAGAGGATTTTCTACTGTTCTTTATCATCGATCTTTTACTTCTCCCACTGGTTTTGTACACGTCTTTGATTGGACTCCTGTCCTCAATTACTCAATGCTACTCCTCATGTATGTCCTCGATTTTACATTATAAACATGTGCATGTTTGTGTGTATACTCCAGATAATATTAACGTACCTAGTTGCCTGCAAGCAGTAGATGCATCCTCATGTGTCCATCCGTCGTAACACACTGTCCTCCAAGCCCCAGCATGCTGTATCATCAATTTGCCTTCAAAGGTTCGATCACTTCCAACCAGTTGAAGGTCATTCTCTACATGTATAAATACAAAAAAAGGTCATTGTGATGTTGAAAGGGCACATTGAGCACTGCAACAGATCAGCAGTGTTGCAAAGGTGTTTTTTTTCCCACCAGTCGCCTGGCCTCCGTAAAATCAAAAAGCGGGAAAAGGGTGGGGAGGGGGGGGGGGGGGGTTAAGAAGGACTCCATGCATGGACATCAGTTTCCTATGAAGACGCAGTTCAAACCGGATGATCATGGGTACTATTGGACAATAGGTGACACTCTTCATGCATGGTGGCACAACGATCACAGGATGCTTAAAACCACAGGACTCATTTGCAGCCAGCCAAAACGTAACTGACGAAATTATTGTTGAAAAGCAAACTCGGTCCAAAGATAGTATTGGGACTAAACACCCTGTGAAATTATTCGTTCTGGCAAGTTTCCATTTTGAAGAAAAAAATGAAAGAAGGCAATTCCAATGATGCGTCTTAAGTCGCATAGTAGTTTGTTTTTAATTCAGCGAGGTACGCGCAAGCGATCCATTGGATACCCATTTTCATTGTTGTCCCATTGGATGCCTACTATCATCCACCACATTGCCTTCGGCTCGGGTAATTATCAGCACCCAGACACCAAGCGGTCTTAAACAGAGTGATTAAAACCTCCAAAAGCACACATTAATCCCTTAATATTTATCCAGAAAGTAATCATTAATAAATATTCATTTAAATACCTAAGACAGTTTACCCATTCGAGAGCCCGTCACGTGGCCGGTCTTAAATGCATGATAAAGACATGGCTGGCTGGTCTTAATCTGGACTCCTATGAAATCCAGTGCCTTTTACCATTTTATTGAATATTGGTTGAACGTTCTTCACAATCCTCACGTACCAGCAGTATTTCACAGTCCATTCACAACACACTCACCACAGCTGCATCTGCGTGTCATCCCGCAGTACGCGCGGCGCAAGGCAATCTCCATCATGTCCATAACTGAGTTGTTAACATCTTACTCGCGAGCTGGACACTCCATTATGCATTGATCTCCATTAGTGAGATCAATGCCATTATAATAGCTAGAGGGGTCCCTCGTTGGAAAAGTTTTATTTTTGACTTGCTTCGAATTTTTTTTTACCGAAACAGTATTCATCAATTCGCCTCGGATAATTATCAGCATTCCAGACTCCATCCATAGTGTTTAACACCTCCCAAGCACACATGTATTCCCTTATTCTAAAATTTCCACATCATGGTAAGTATTGTCTTTATTATTTTGAACGTTCCGGTGCTTTCACTTTCAACCGTTCTATTATCCATCTCCTTGAAATGTGAAATCTTTGATGCTTTTTTCTGCCTTGTAGAACAATTTGAGAATATAATTTAAGAACTTTACCGATCCATTTTTTTTAGATGGTGGATATTTTGCCAGAGGTAATGACAGCAAACTAACATTTACTAAAGGTTTGCCGGCGGCAATCCATATCAACAGAGGGCGCTGTACTCTTTAAGATAGGGCTGAATTATAACATGTATTAAATTCCTACCAAAAGTTGTGAAGCACGTTTGGTGTAGTGGTTAAGCAAATGCTCTAGTAAGCGGGATGACTCGGGTTCGATTCCGAACGTAGCACATTTTTAATGTTTTTTTCCTCATCCCCAAATAAATAAGAATATTCTTCTTTTATTATTTTAACATGTCTCAAACATTTTTTTGCAGAGTATTACATTTTCTTTTTCAGATTTGTGGCTCTGGAGGATTTTTTTTAAAAGGGAAATTAAGTCCGAAATTATAAAATGGTCTGAATCCCATCTTGTGAATACGAAGTTACAACGATAATTTTGGCATGGAGCCAGACTAAAGTTTGTCACCGGAAAATGTTGAAGTACAAAAAAACAGTAACTGCGCATGTTCAGTGCATATCCGGCAAACTAACGTTTACTAAAGGTTTGCCGTCTCCGGCAAAATATACACTGCCTTTTTTTATTTTTGGACCCACTGTAACATTAGTCAGAAGCCTAGCTGAATTGGGGTGGGGATGGGGGTGGGGATGGGGGTGGGGATGGGGGTGGGGGTGATGCAACCTAGTCCGAAAATTTGGGACTCTCAAATACTGTGTATGAGAGTCCCAAAACTTAAGGTATTCAAAACATGCAAAACAAGAAAATAGACTGGCACCTAAAACAACCAGTCGAACTTCAGTACTGCATCAATCAACCATGCCAAAAGAATTTAAGAAACATGTGGCATGAAGCGGGAACATGTCTCAATTTACTACACATTTCTCCATAGTCAAGCCACCAGACTATTGACATGTACCAGTCTAGTATTTAGCCCCATTTTGAAATCAGTTGACTTCCCTCTCATGTGTAAAATATTGAAGAAATGTCTCCTTTAAAAATTGAATTTGGTCTGCAAACTTGGTTGGTGAAATACTGAGGACATTTTCTTTGCCCCAGTGAAATTTTGGAGAAATTTGCTGGCTAAATTGTGAGTAAAGTGGGCCTGATTTAGTTTTGCACGTTTCAGAGCACTCTAGAGCCCTGTCTGGATGTAGCTGGAGTTACCCAGCCCTGAGTTTTATCATTGGGTTGTCATCTAGGGCTGGAGCGTATTTTTCTCGTAACTTGTAGTATATTTAAAAAAATTTGGAAAATGTTCAATTTTGTCCCCGTTACACACTAATTGCAACTGCAACTCACCCCAAACTTGCCTGGAATAACCATTACACAGGTCCTTGAAGTAAAAAACGATCCACGATGAAGATTCAGCCTACAATTGCAGTGAAAACAGGAGGAATAACCGCTAACTTGACAACCTTGCTGGATTGGCCAGGACCGCAATTGGTTTGTGCACAAAAAAAATTGTGTACAATGAATGGCGGTCGATTAACAGGCACAGAGAGCGATAGCTGTCAACTACTCGTTTTTGCCGGCTGCGCTGGCTGTTGGCGCATGACGTCACGCGGAAGCGTAACACCCGATGACTGTTTCATGCACTAATATAAGGTTTACCACTCGCATCACAGCTTTGGTACTGGAACCGCAACCAATAGTGCATGAAACAGTCATCGGGTGTTACACTTCCGCGTGACGTCATGCGCCAACAGCCAGCGCAGCCGGCAAAACCGAGTAGTTGACAGTGATCGCTCTCTGTGCCTGTTAATCGACCGCCATTCATTGTACACAATTTTTATTGTGCACAAACCAATTGCGGTCCTGGCCAATCCAGCAAGGTTGTCAAGTTAGCGGTTATTCCTCCTGTTTTCACTGCAATTGTAGGCTGAATCTTCATCATGGATCATTTTACTTCAAGGACCTGTTATTCCAGGCAAGTTTGGGGTGAGTTGCAGTTGCAATTAGTGTGTAACGGGGACAAAATTGAACATTTTCCAAAAAAATTTGAATATACTAGTACAAGTTACGAGAAAAATACACTCCAGCCCTAGATGACAACCCAATGATAAAACTCAGGGCTGGGTAACTCCAGCTAGTCTGGATGCAACCCTACAGCCTCAAACAAGATTTATTACTGGTAAACTTGCATTGTTGCAACTTGTCCCATTGGATGCCCATTATCATCCACTAAGACCTGCTTGAGTATACCCTGCTGTGCCCCTCAGTGGCGACGATGTTGCCATCCGGCCGGCGGCCACGTCTGGGTTGAAGAACACAGTTGCTGTCCTCATCCTTCCAGTGTGGTGACGTCTCCTAATTAGGTTGGGTCGCAATGCGCACCAACTTTTTTTGTTATTGATTCTTGTCTACCCTGGGTAAAATCAGATCTGATCAAGCCCGTCTACTCAACCAAGAGTCCAAGAACAATAAGTGGTGTCGATGAATAGATTTCGCTTTTCATTCAAGTAAAGATTCAATGAACTTTCTCCTAATGCAAATCTCCAAGCAAACCATCGCGCCAATGAGAGAAACGGGCTATAAAACTGGGCAACAGAGGGCGCTATTTAGGAAAATTTGACAGACAAGTACAAGTCCGCATCTAAAGCTGCGCTATATTCGGTCTTCGCATCAAAGTCGGCACAGTCTATAGTCCCCGTATTGTTTCTTCGCGTAACGTACTCTAACATGAATATTGATCACGCTGTGTGGATGGATGACTGCTGGTACCATCTTCCAACATAGGGGCGCTCTTCAAAACCGAGCATTGTATCGTAACTACATGTACGCATTATTTGCCCATTTTTTAGGGCGCATTGCGTTCGTTTTGGGGCTTGGTTTTCATATTTCCTCGTATACCATTTTGTGAAATGGTTACTTACAATTAATAGCCGGATACTTTTTAGGGCCATTTTTTTTTAATCTCGAGGGGACACTTTTATGCTCGAGAGGCACATTTATGTCCGCAAAAGGGGCACTTGGGAAAATCGGGGGGGGGGGGGGGCAACTGCCCCCCCCCCCGGTTCCGCCGCCCCTGCCACCGTGCATAGCTGTTGCACCTCGACGAAAGCCGTTCGATAGCAATGGTGTGACGTCATTGTTATTTTCTTGTAAACATCGAACTAGAATGATCATGATCATCATACGATGTGTGCTGCAAATAAAACACACCGCAGACGGTCCATGATCCAGAAAACTATATTGTTACCGCTATCGCCGACGCGTGGTTGCCACGGGTTGCATGCAACAATATTATTTGATTATTGAAAATACAATTATCAACAAACGCAACAAAAGACTTCCTAAACATAACTTTTTCTTTGGTAATGAGGGTGTAACTAAGGGCGACTTTTGGGGGGAAATATGTTGCCAACCTACAACCACGGCTTCATTTTATGCGCTTATTGCGGCAGCCAAATGGCGTCCAATGTTAACAAACAACCCAAGGGCTAGCTAGCGGTATCTGTTTAGAAACAGATATGTAGTATCGCTATTCAGGGATTATGTTAACCCTGTAATGGGTTAACTCGAAAGGAAATAGCGTGATTTATAAGGAGGGAGTGTGACTTCTGGCCGATGAACTCAATTGCAGGTACCATAACTTTGAATAACATTTCTGCATTGTCATCAAGACTCGACGATCCAATACCAATGCTTAACTGAAATTAATTTAGCATGTACCGTGCAAATTATACAATGTACATTTTGTATACTTTTTGTAAAGAACTTCGTGAACGTAATCCTACGAAGCGCAAGCGGATGGCTGCTCATGCATGCTTGGTCAGTTGACGCATGCGCCGTATACAGAAAAACTCTTGTTGTTGGCAGTAGTGCAAAACAGTCTCATAAGACGCATCGATCCCATGTTTTGGAATATAATTTTTTTTTCATTGAAGACACGAGTCATAGTTTGGTGTTCGTTTGGACACCATCAAAATGGTTGGTTCATGGAGGACAAATTTGCCGAACGATAAACATTCAAGGTCCGATATTGAAGACCTTCGTCAAGCAAGCCTTTGTAGAAAAGTTCCTAAAATGTCTTCTGAGACGCTCGAGCATACGGGATTTAGGGCCCCGACTTTCGTTGCCCAATGCCAACGTCCACGCAGATCATAACTGCTTGATTGTATGCAGATGATTTAGCCGCCGATCTGTCCATATCTGAAACCTGGCGTAAACTTCTTTCACTGCGCTTCTGTCCCGAGTACTAGAGACTGAAGACCGAATGGTGCTCCGAGTATATTTTTGTCGATTCTTGATCTTCCTGAGTCCATCACTCCACGATGACATGCTCCTGGGCTGAAAGCCATGGTCATTAGCAACTACATGTATACAAATCCTCTTGCATTTGGGGAAACCATTATGAAAACAGTGGCGTATCCAGCACCAGTGGCGTATCCAGTGATGTCAGTTGCGTGGGTTAAATTTGGTTCATGGTATCAAACGTTCATTTTCTGCACGTAGAAAGTCGGAAATTTGGTTTGGTCGTACAGGCTGTTGTTCGTTTATTTCTGAGATATATTCGTTTATTTCTGAGTTGTTCGTTTATTTTTGTGGTTTTGTTTTATTTTTGTTTGTTTTTTTGTCTTTTTTTGCCCTAATGGCTGCCCATACTTTTGCTAGTAGAAACAAAACAAAAATCCAACTTTTGGACAATGAAAAATGAAAATTCAGAAAGAGGACTCCATTTCAACCATAATTCTACTTATGTTCTAGCAGATTTTAGTTTTAGAAAATGAGCCGTCCATTTTCGGTTCTCCATGCATAACATCCGTAGTTATCCGTCATCTTCCTTGGGTATTCCTGGAGGGGCTACGGAACTTTTCAACTGTTAAAAACTTCCGTGGTGAAACGTCATGAAAATCAATACGTAGTGCACCCGGCATGGGACATCCGTAGGACAACCGTAGTGTTAATCGTGGTTATTCGTATTCTTGGAGATTCGTGTACGGATGTCTTACGGATATGCCCGATGTGCTATGGTTCTGCTAAGGTTGTACAGTGCTCCGAAAATATATATACATGTACACGCTTTACCTTGGTCATCCGTGGCCCAATCGTAGACAACCTGTCGTAGTTGGAGAGCCTGTCGACAGGCTTTTTGTTTATAGCTTTTTTTAGGTAATCCCTCAAGCTTGCATGGTACAATGTAATGTTTAATGTTTAAAAAATTTTTTTTAATAGTTTCTTGAATCTTAACCTTTTGTAGTTTGTCCTTTTGATCTTATTTGTCGTGTCTAGTAATTTTTATGACATTGAATATTAAACCTGTCATATATTTACATATACAGTATTAAATGTCTTGTGTTTTGCCTGTGAAATGATAGATAATAAATTAAATATCATATTACAAAGCTAGAACATGATTTTGTGTGCTTTGAAATTTTCGAATGGGGGGCCTAATACATGGGCGCAAATCATCATATTCGAAAACAGAATCGCTTCTAATACCGTCACAATGACACCACAGTTATGTGAAATCCAGTTTGATGTAAAAGTAAATAAATAAATAAACACCTCCAGTTCACATAGGGGCCCTTGGCGATGGGTGAAGTGGTGATGGGGCGAACTTTGGTCCAGGGCGAAGTGACGTGAGGCGGATTGTACATGCGGGGCGAAGCTATGCACGGCCAACACCCCTATCTGAAAATGTGCATTCTTCAGCTTTCTTTATTTAACATGGAATAATTATAGGAATGTCTGAAAGTCTAATGACATGGACACTAAACATCTAGGACTCCGCCCTTTTTACGGTTAATCGTTCATAGGCTTAACTCCGGCATAGGATATGAATCGCATAAAAAAGCACACACACACACCCACACCTAACCGGTGGCACAACATGGGACCATGATGGAACCATGGAACCAAGGGTACTTGAAGCGGTACCGGTCACAAGGGGCTACTTTATGCCGAAAGAACACCAATATAACACATAATTAACACGTAATTGCGTCAACCTACTCACCCGCTGCCAGAGCTGCAGAATTACTGCCGATTTCAAGCAGTAAAGCACAAATTAACCACCAGTTGTGAATTCGAACATCGGCCATTTTTTTTGCATTGGCTTCCCTGATCCACGCAGTTGATGTATTTCCACTCACAGTTCCACAAGTTCCACAAACGTCATGGAGTCCACAGCCGATTAATTTTTTCAAGTAATCCCCGAGGGGGTACGAAAGTGATCAAAAGGCCAGTGACGACTTCTGATGAACCCGTCTAAAATTGTATGGCTAAGACAGCAGAGAAAATCACTCTGCACGGGAGAGAGGGAAAGGTTATGAATGAACTTTCCAAATAACTGTTCAGGGCGAGTCCTTAATTGTTATTACCCTACGTATGAATCACACACTAAGCAATGGTTCTGCATTGTTGCTGTAAAAATTATTTGGCCTACACCCATGATCAGTGAACCGTGGGGGAAGTGCATGTATTTGGGTTAGCCAAAAACATGGCAGTCACTCAGTGATAACAGTTGAGTGAACTCGCCGTGTACATTGTACACGTGGATAATATTGACAGTAGGACAGTGAGGCTAGCCCTTGTTGCAAGTCAACCCACAGTTGCGCCACACAATTATTGTTGTTCCCCACGCACAAAGTATTGTCCATTGTCCTCCCTATTATTGTGATGTAAAATAGGAGAGAGGGGTGTGTGGTTCGAAGAAATGAAGCACCCGCGCGGTGGTATAGCTGGCCGTAGCCATTACGCTGTCAACTTTGACCACCCAAAAATAATTCGAGTCTGGAAGCCAAACGGGCCTACATCATCGTCGTCGTCAACTCGTCATGGCATCATCCTCTCGCCGACACACGAATATTCAATCGTTAGTATGAGTTCCACTTACGAGAACGCAAACGTAATTAACGTTGCCGACGATTTCCTATTGGCTGTGCACCAACGAGCGGGGACGTTTGCAGCATCAGGCTGCTTGAGTAGAACCACGGAGGAGTACGCACCCCTATCTGTTTGTTAGAGCAGCAAATAATCAGCATTCTTTTTCGAGGTTTCCCTGTTTTTCTGCTACCCAAAAAGCAGATTTTACACATTAAGACTGCAAAAAAGTTGAAATCAGTTTCCGAATTTTGGCAACACCAATTTTCTTCTTTTGATTGATTGATTGGTTTGTTTATTGTTATATCCTACATTAAAATATCCTACGTTATAATGTGATGTATGTCTGTCTGTCTGTGTTATGTCTGTATAAAATGTCTGTGTGTCACTTTTTTTTTATACAAGGCCTAAAGACTCTGATTATGCGGTCATCCAGTATAATGAAGGTCCTCAACTGGTGTATATTATATGCACCGATTTCACTGTCCTCTGAAGTCACAGTTGGCAGAAGAAGAATAAAAAAATGTTTTGTTTGCCTTTTGGGCTAATTTGAAAGTTTGATACTTTGAATAGTTAAATATGGGTGTCCCGGTTATTTTAAAGACTTGTATCACACGAATTCCCTATTTCGATACTTTAATTTCGTCCCCGAACATCGCTAAGGCTCAATTCTCAATTTGTATTTCAAAAAGCCAGCACTAAATTTCCTTTAAAGTTCAGTGTTGTTCACATGTTTAACATACCGATTTGTCCTAAATTTCTGGTGACTTAAAACGTTACGATTAGAAAACGTGCCCAACCTTTGGACAGATATTTAAAGAAATGTGCTCATTTATAAAATTATAATTTCAAGATATATTTTCCTTATACATGTATGTATAAATAACAGTATAGTTAGCTGCAAGTTTTGAATCTCCATTTTTTTTGTGTGTTTCACAATTAACTTTATAATCAGGAATATACATTTTACAATACGCTCTTTACTTATGATGTGGAAATTAAGCATCAAGATCAACCACCTTCGTAATACTTTTTTTGATAGACCTAACGTCTGTGCTATTATTGTTCAATATTCATAAATGCGCACAATCTTCAAAGTTTAGTGGCTTTAAATAGGTTATCACGTCGAGTGACTGTATAATAGCAAAATTAATGTGCTTTTTACCTACCAGGAACGTAGTGGCGCTGTTCCTCATGAGTAGCTTCTTCCTGTTTTACTTGTGTTTTTTTTCAGAGGAGCCTCGTATCTTTCCCATAATACGATCTTTGATTGTTCTCATCTTGGATTGTTCTCATCGTGGAAGGAAGGAACATCAGACAAATTTGGAGGGAAAAAAACCGAAAAACTATCCACCCTATAACAAACAGAAAAATAATAAACAAAAGATAAAAACAACCCCAACAAACCACGTGCTTAAATCGTTTTTTTTTTTAAATCGGTGAGTTGTTTAAATCAATGCGATTTAAATTTAAAAAAAAATCCCCATCTCCTGCCCAACACCTTTATCTGATCATAATTAATTTCTCCGTATTTACTTCTGTGACGTCACGAATTTGGAAGGGATATGAAACTTTGTAGTCCGGTTCCCAGACCAAAAGAGCTATTTATATAAATGTAGACGTCTGCACGTCGGGGGAAATTGTCGGGTCGGGGAACCAGACTACAAATTTTGCCAATGAAGTATTCAATTCCAAAACTATTTGTGCCTAGCCTCCAAAAATGTCTGTTATACATTGTACCTTAATATTAGTCAACCCTCCCTAAACTACGGAGCTCTGGAAGTGCCATCCGACTTGTTGAGGTACTGACTCATTTTATCTCAGGATGACGACATATTACAGGCAAGATGACGACATCCTGAGATAATTTATTAGGATATGACGACATCCTGGAAACAGAATGACAACATCCTGAGATAATTTATTAGGGAATAACGACATCCTGAAAGTAGAATGACGACATCTTGAGATAATTTATTAGGGTAAAACGACATCCTGAAAATAGGATGACGACATCCTGAGATAATTTATCACGGGGTGCATTGAAGATACATACGCACAGGTGAACGTGCGGCTTGTATTTATCCTGTCGCTGTACGTGGTATTTATTGATGAGAGGTCATGATGTCTTGCTGTCTGTTGTGGGTAAGTATCGCTTATGTTTTGTTTGCTTTAAACTTCGCTTAATTCCATTAAATTATATAGTATTTGATGCCTCAGGATGTCGTCATCCTACTACCAGGATGTCATCATCCTCTTAAATTATCTCAGGATGTCGCCATCCCATAATAAGTTATATGGGGGTCAAAGGGTTAGGATGGGAGGGATGGGAGGGAGAAATGAGCAGCTCCCTGTCCACGAAATATCCCATATGACCTGCGTCTCCAACAGCCTCTCCTAACCAAACTTCTACTGCTTGGCTTCTCGTGCCAACCCCTGTTTATAACCGATGGCAGAGGTGTGAAAGGCGAGTTTCTGGCGCCTGAAAACCAGATTGCTCTGGGCAGGTGGGGCTCGTTAGCCACGGGAGGCAGCCCGCCTAGGAGAAGGAACTCTGATCTCAAACCCGGGCAGGTGGAGCCCGTTAGCCTGGTTGGCAATCCCCCTGGCAGTGGGCAGAAGCACTGCCTCGACTTGCACCAGCAGATGAGCATGCTTCCAACGGTGTGTGCCCGATTAGGAGGAGGCACCGCACCTGTGATGGATGGAATAGCTCCTCTACTGCGCTACCATGTCCCCTTCCCAGGGATATGTAGCCTAACCCCCAAGCTATGGGTAAATAGCACCACTGCCTCGTGGCGTCACGGGAGTGACAAAGGCTAAGGGAGAAAACCCCGACAGAAACTCCGGAGTGGAACCCCGAAGGCGGTCGGTTGGCATACTTGCCACCTTCTGGCAACTCCTGCATCCTGGCACGCCCCCAGTCGTCTCGACTTCAGTTGCTACTGGACCCGGACGTGCCAGGAAGAGAGAGAGAGTGAGGCTGATGCAGCGCAAGTCACCCTCACTATAATCCAAGTTCCGCGCAAGTCATCTACATCATTGCGTCTCTAAGTCCTGTGGCGATGGGGGAGCAGCAAAGCAGCAGGTGAGGAAAGCACTGGAAGCTGTAGTTGCGACCCTGCACACAGGTGGCTCAGAAACTGGTCGTACTCCATTGACTGAAGCAGCAGTGGGGTGCAGGCAACTGGCTGAGTGACCGAGCAGCCCTCTTCAGGACCACTCTGCTCGCCTCCGTTGCATGAGGGCGGGGCGATAAAAGGAGCCCTAAACATAGCTGCTTCAAACCCTCCCTGGCCAGCATACCGCGGTTGGCGGGGTTTTCCTATTACGGTCAAAACAAAAGCAGAATCAAGAAGAAAGTGTTGATGCTCACCCTAGCATCATGGAATGTCCGGACCCTACTAGACAAAAGCAAAGCGGACGGACTGCCCTTGTGGCGAGAGAACTTGCCCGCTACAAGGTGGACATCGCGGCCCTCAGTGAGACCCGCCTCTCCGACAAGGGCCAACTGACTGAGACTGGCAGTGGCTACACCTTCTTCTGGTGTGGCCGCAGCAGCGAAGAGCGCAGAGAGGCAGGCGTGGGCTTCGCCATCAAGACCGAGCATGTGAAGAAGCTGGCAAGCATCCCGGAGGGCATCAACGACCGGCTGATGAAGATAAAGCTTCCACTTTGGAGGGGAAGAACCGCCACGCTCATCAGCGCCTACGCACCGACCATGACCAACCCTGAGGAGATCAAGGACAGGTTCTATGAAGAACTCGACACTCTCATCTCCGCCGTTCCACAGACAGAGAAGCTGATCGTGCTTGGCGATTTCAACGCCCGTGTTGGCACTGACTCCACTACTTGGGACTGGGTCCTCGGCCGACATGGAGTCGGCAAGTGCAACTGTAATGGCCTTCTCCTGCTCGGTACGTGCGCTTCACATGACCTGTCCATCACTAACACAATGTTCCGCCTGCCGACCCGCAACAAGACGTCCTGGATGCACCCGCGCTCACGGCACTGGCATCTCATCGACTTCGTCACCGTCAGGGAGAGGGACAGACGCGACGTGCGAGTGACCAAGGCCATGTGTGGCACCGACTGCTGGACCGACCACCGCCTCATCATCTCCAAGATGAACCTCCACATCCAGCCCTAGAGACAGCCTCAGGGACAGAAGGTCACCAAGCGACTCGACGTGGCCAAGCTGAAGCACCTTGAGACTGTACAGGATTTCCAGGAAGCCCTGGACACCAAGCTTTCTCAAGCCCAGTCCAGCCAGGACAGTGTCGAGGAACAGTAGGCGCGACTCAGGGACGCCACGTACTCCACTGCCCTTAAAGTCATCGGCCCGAAGAGCAGAAACAACCATGACTGGTTCGATGAAAACGATGTCGAAATCAAACCCCTTCTGGAGGAGAAACATCGTTTGTTCCGTGCGCACCAGAGTGACCCCACCTGCGATGCCAAGAAAGCGGCCTTTGCGAACATCCACAGCAAGGTGCAGACCAGGCTACGCTTCATGCAAGACTCCTGGCTCAGCGCTAAAGCAGAGGAGATCCGACAGACATGAGACAAAGAAGTTCTATGCTGCACTCAAAGGCAATCTACGGTCCACAGCCATCTGGGTCTTCCCCCCTGCTCAGCGCCGATGGATCCACTCTGCTCACGGACAAGAAGCAGTTCCTGGACAGGTGGGCGGAGCACTTCAACGCTGTGCTCAACCGACCGGCCTCCATCAATGATGAGGCCATCGACCGCCTGCCCCAAGTGCCCATCAACGACGAGTTGGACCTTCCGATGACTAAGTCAGCAAAGCCACCAAGAAGCATGCCTCCTTCCCGACAGCCAGTGCGGTTTCCGAGCAGGCCGAGGGACCACCGACATGATCTTCGCCGCCCGCCAGCTCCAGGATAAGTGCATGGAATAGCATCAGGGCCTCTACACCACCTTCGTGGACCTGACCAAAGCCTTCGATATGGTCAGTAGGGACGGTCTCTGGAAGATCATGGGGAAGTTTGGCTGCCCGAGCAAGTTCACCGCCATCGTCAAGCAGTTCCACGAGGGCATGACAGCCCGTGTCCTGAACGACGGTGAACCCTCGGACCCATTCCCCATGACAAATGGAGTCAAGCAGGGCTGTGTGAGTCAGGCGTCAGCATCAAGTATAGGTGTGATGGGAAACTTTTCAACCTCAGGCGTCTGCAGGCTGTCACCAAGGTGAAGGAGACCGTCATCAGAGACCTTCTCTTCGCGGATGACTGTGCCCTGAACACCTGTCATGAGCAAGAGATGCAGCAGGCGATGGACAGATTCTCCTCTGCCTGCGACAACTTTGGCCTGACTATCAGCACCAAGAAGACGCAGCTCATGTTCCAGCCTGCTCCAGGAGACGCACACCACGAGCCCCTTATCACAGTCAAGGGAGAGAAACTTCAAGCGGTGGAGGACTTCACCTACCTAGGCAGCACCCTCTCTCGAACAGATACCATTAACGCAGAAGTCAACAACCGACTGTCCAAAGCAAGTTGCGCCTTTGGGAGGCTCCGAGAGAAAGTCTGGGAGAGAAGAGGAATCCGCTCTGAGACCAAGGTGAATGTCTACCGAACTGTAGTGATCACCACACTCCTCTACGGCTGTGAAACCTGGACCACCTACGGAAGACATGAAAACCAGCTGAACCGCTTCCACCTCAGATGCCTTCGAAACATCCTTCGCATCCGATGGCAGGACAGAGCCCCAGACACTGAGGTCCTGAAGCAGGCAGGGCTCCCGAGTGTTGTCACCATGATTCGCAAGGCTCAGGTCAGATGGGCAGGCCATGTCACACGCATGCCTGACACCCGCATCCCCAAGAAGATCCTCTGGTGAGCTCTCCCGGGGCAAGCGTACTGTCGGTGGACAGAAGAAACGATTCAAAGACAGCCTGAAAGTCTCCCTGAAGGACCTCAACATTAACACAGAGTCTTGGGAGACATGTGCAGCAGACCGCCCTGCCTGGCGCAGAATCATCGCCCAAGGCGCCCAGGCAGCAGAGGACCAAAGAGCTGCACATGCTAAGCAGAAACGGGAGAGGCGAAAGCTGAGAGCAGCCAGCACCCAGGACGCCACACCAGCCTACGTATGCCCTGAGCGCGGAAGGAGTCGCCGCGCCCGGATCGGCCTGATCAGCCATCTCCGGACACATAGGACCAGCTCTACGCAGAACTGATACCATGGTCTTCATCGACAACGATGGACGAACAACAACAACAATATGAAGATATCGTCATCCTACTTTCAGGATGTCGTCATCCCCTAATAAATTATGTCAAGATGTCGTCATCCTATTTTCAGTGTGTCGTCATCCTATAATAAATTATCTCGGGATGTTGCCACCTTGCCTGTAATATGTCGTCATCCTGAGATAAAATAAGTCAGTATCTGAACAAGTCGGATGGCACTTCCAGAGCTCCATACTAAACACAAATCCCAGGTGCGCAAATTAATTGTTTTCATTTTCTTCTAAGGGGTAACAATTTGAGGGAAAACTTCGACTGTTTATTCATCGGGCGACTCCTTAAATGGCCATGATTGGAACAAGGGTAACCAAAAAATCCTCGGTATAATCAATACACATGCAGATACATCCCTAACAGTCCTGAATCCTCCAATTTTAAAATAATTTTGCACACCCCCTAGGGAGTTAGGGTTAAACGGTCAATATTCAGTGAAATTTACAGCTTCTTGGGTTTAGCGATTTTTTTGGTTTTGTTACAGTGCAAAGTTCACAGTTTTGAAGCCACGTTACTTCATGGCGTTCCGTGGCGCCGCTGTTACGGTATCGGACAGAAACTGCACAGTTTATGATTTATGAAAAATCTAGCTGAATTGTTTCAAAATGTCTATACTTGCATGTAAGCTCATTGACTGGCACGGTAATATAAATTAATATATCCCTAAAATAGGGAACCACAGCAAAGTCAAAAGAATACGCGACATTTGATTCTCAACTTCTACTTAAAGGGAATGTACATCATTGGCTTTTGCTATAATTTTCAGAAATGAACTATTTGAGGGGTTTCTATAATAGATCAAATATTGTTACACTGACATGTTTCAAGTTTTGTGTTCGAAAATGCTGGAAAAACCAAGAAAAACAAAAATGGTAAAGTAGTCTGGTTTCCTGACTCAACTAAAGATAAAATGGATCAATTTATAGATGCCGGAAAATTGTAAGGTAAGGGAACCAGTCTAACTGGCCTGCACCCGTTCATGAACATTTAGCCAATAGCAAACAAAATTTGGACTGAAAAAAAGGTAAATTTGGAGCGGTACTTGAAAATAGTTAGGTATTTCCAACGGTGGTCGGCCGACCACTGTTGGAAATGTATACAAAAATACCATTTTCTTGAAAATGACTTCACACCAGGTGCCATAATGTTACAGGATGCTTTAGACTGTCGTTTACCAACATCCTAGTAAGGTATTTCGTAAAAACTTGGTAGTTTTATTTTTCAATGTTTGCAAATGTTGTATTTTCCCTTTAACTGACATTGTTGAGTTTGAACAATAAAGTTTGATAAATGAAAATGACGTTCACTTGAACAAAAAGATTAGTAGATAACAATAATAATAGTTATAACGGGTTTTTATAAAGCGCTTTTAACTAAGATCAAAGAACTTTACATTATTATTACCCCTGGTCATTGGGCCAATGAAAATTTCCAAATACCATCTTTGAAGACATTTAAGGCAATCATTTACTGCTCAGGTAGAGAAAGGTTGTGTGGAAAATTGATGCAAGGGTTTGGTTTCCACAATTTAAAATGGTTCAACCATCAACCATGGTGATCCCATGTCTGTTTGCTAAATCGCTGCGTGTACATCACACAATCAGGCAAAGCGGGATCAGGTCCTGAGGATCATGACGAACACCAACGAAATGGAAATGGGAAACTTATCACATGTGATTACTCCGCCGGAAAAAAAGTACTGAATGGCATGACTATGCTCCCTTCCCCCCCCCCCCCAAAAAAAAATAAGGGAAGGGTCATCTTAATAATTGAGGAGGAAACGTTATATTTCACTAGCTACGTTTAAGTCCCTCAGAAAATGAGTTTGGAAATGTTGCCATCATCGCCAGTGATTTGCATTTCACGTCGAGGGTTGCTGAAATTATTAGCTCATTCCTGAGTTCCCTCCATCTTAGTTTGTGTTGACTAACTGATTTTGCAGTGTACTTATAAAGTCTAAATAATAATACGGTTTTAAAAATAGGGCTATGGGTCTACGTTTTTTTTAAGTCTCATGATTTCCAGAAAGATTTTTCTTTCAATTTCAATTATATTATTCAATTTTCACACTTTAAACAAAACCAATTTAGTCAATTTTAAAGTTTGGTCACCATCTTTAGTCATCGGGTCGAGAATATTCGTCATAACAAATACATTTCGTATGAGTGGGCAACATTCAGTGAATTTATCTATAGGCCCGTAAATCAATTCAACGAATTTGATTTTCTGAATAACAAGGTTTGGCATAGGCGAGACGAAATCGAATGCTCCGGGACGGAAACGTGTGCTCATTGTTTGAATTTGCTTGAACTGAATTTGCTGACAAAAGACGAAATTAAACATTGGAAGTGGTGCACTTAATTGATATTGCTGGACGATTGTAGGTTTTCTCGGCTACTTTAAAACATGTTTTATTCAATTCAACAACTTTAACATTCAATTTCGTCCACGAAACATTTCACACGCTTTTACCAGCATGGAGATATAGCCCATGTGGACTCCCTTTACCTCCCTACGTTACGGAGGGATGCAATGAAGACGTCGTCCAACCTTGGCTAGAGGAATATATAAAAAAAAATGCACTAGCAAAATGTCAGAATTTGACTTACAGGGAACGGTCTCCCCCTAAATGAGAAGGGTGCATTTGTACACTTTTGGTTAATATATTCCCTGTATATTTATTAACTAAATTTAAAGGATCCCCCAAATTGTGTAAAGCTGTCAGACGGATCCCGGGAAACTTCGTGTGAAGTGTAGGAGGGGAATTTAGTCTTGTACCAAAAACAGTGAGGATACTTCAATGTGTGATGTTACAAAACGTCTTCCGACTTTATTACAACTGTGCCACAATTACAATGTGCATCTTCTCTCTATCTTCCATCGA